CTTATAATAATGTATATGTATTTATAACAGGTTTTTATAAATATTAATTATACATTTTATTATGAATATAAATTGTTATATATATTATAAATATTATTTATCAATTTTTTATAATTATTTACAATATATGATTTGTGTGTTTATTAATAATAAAATTATGAACATTAATTCTAACAAATTTCTGTATTTATAATATAGTAAATCATATTTTTAATAAAGTATTGGTTTTGTTTTTATATATAACTTTTTTGCATTTAAAACAAATTATAAATTTAATATGAATTAATAATAATAATTTATACTACAATTAATAATAATGCATTCAGGATCAGGAGTAATATTGAAAATTATTACAAATAATTTTAATATTTATTTATAATAATGTATAATATTTATTTATATGTAATACATTTTATGAATATTAATAATAATTTATTATACTTAAACATTTTATTATATAAATACTTAATAATTAAACATGTTTATTGTGTGTATATATACAATATATGCTAAATGATGTGTATAATTTATTACAAATAAAATTATTTATATTAATTAATTTGAATAATATGTATTTTTTCTGTATTTATAATATATATATATATATATATATATATATAATTTTTTTTGTTAGAACTGTAATTACTGTTTGTTGTTTTTGTAGTTTTATCTCTCTTAAGTAGCACACGTATGTGGATTTAAGTTTTACATGAGGGCTAATACTGTCGACGTCAACTATATATGCAGCTTTGAAAAAATACAATTATTAAACCCCCTTTGAATTATTTTTTTTTATATATTTTCCAAATTATGTTTAACAGAGCAAGGAAATTTTCATGTCTATGTCTGATAATGTTTTTTTCTTCAAGAGAAAGTCTTATTTGTTTTATTTTGGCTAGAATAAAAGCAGTTTTATTTTTTTTTAAATACATTTTCAGGTCAAAATTATGAGCCTCTTTAAGCTATTTTCTTCAATAGTCTACAGAACAAACCATCATTATACAATAACTTGCCTAATTACCCTAACCTGTCTAGTTAATCTAATTAACCCAGTTAAGCCTTTAAATGTCACTTTAAGCTGTATAGGAGTGTCTTGAAAAATATCTAGTCAAATATTATTCACTGTCATCATGTCAAAGATAAAATTAAATCAGAAATTAGAAATAAGTTATTAAAACTATTATGTTTAGAAATGTGTTGAGAATCTTCTCTCCGTAAAACAGAAATTGGGGGAAAAAATTAATGGGGCTAATCATTCCCGGGGGCTAATAATTCTGACTTCAGCTGTATACAAGTAACAAGATAAATATTAACATTTTCTTCAACCTACAAACACCTGAAATAAACTAAGAATCTGAAGCAGTGTCTTTATTCCAGAGCTGAGCAAAACATTTCAAGCGTTTTACTTTGGGTTTATAAACACTGACGGTAACACTTTAGTTTAAGAAGTGTACAATTCCCACCATCACCTGCTTTTTAAAGAGATTTAAAGACTGTTTATTAGTAATTATAAAGTGCATATTCTGCATGATTTTGATTTATTCTGCATCTCTATTCCTGTCTAATACCTAAACCTGCTACTACTTGTAATTCATAAGCCATTAATTAGTACTTTATTTTCATGGCTTGAGAAAAACGCTAATTCATGTTGGAATCATGTTAACAACATGCTAGTTCATGCTAAAAACATGATAACAACATGCTATGCTAGTAACAAGCTAGTAAAATGCTTGGTTTGTTAGAATTTCGGCTTGGTCTATTTATTAATTAGGGCTCGCCACAGCGGAAAGTACCGCCAACTTATCCAGAATATGTTTTACACAGCGGATGCCCTTCCAGCCGCAACCCAACACTGGAAAACACCCATACACTATTGCATTCACACACATACACCACGGACATATTAGCTTGTTCAATTCACATGTACCGCATGTCTTTAAACTTGTGTGGGAAACCGAAGCACCTGGAGGAAACCCACACCAACATTGGGAGAACATGCAAACTCCACACAGAAATGCCAACTGACCCAGCCGGGGCTTGAACCAGTGACCTTCTTGCTGTGTGGTGATTGTGATGCCCATTTCAGAGAACTGTCAAAACAAACTCGCCTGTTATATCGAAAGTGATTGCCTTAAAATAGGCTAAAAAAAATAGAAAAATTCAAGGAATTGCTCGTACGTTTTTTTAAATGAGGACAGTCAAAACATCCCCAGGAAGAACAACATTTTCAGTAATGGTCTACACGAATGTTTACTTACACAGGAAGTAGTGAATCCGCTATGATATAAATATTCTTGTTTTGATGTTCCGTCTTGCATTCATCAGGAGATAATAATGGTTTTGGCTAAAAGCCTTCCTCAGTGTGTACAGCAATTCAATCCATCCACCCTGTTTTCACATCACTGATTATGTTGACGTTGCTGTAAATGGGATGTACGCTAGGGCATATTTAACTAATAAGCAAGGCAAGCGGCTGCTTGGGGCCCCAGGACATCTGAGGTCCTTCAATAAATATCTAGAAATATAAATTATACTGGCGTCACTGTGGCGCAGTTGTTAGCACGGTTGCCTCACAGCAGGAAGGATGCTGGTTCGAGCCCAGGCTGGGTAAGCTGGCATTCCTGCGTGGAGTTTGCATGTTCTCCCTGTGTTCACGTGGGTTTCCTCTGGGTGCTCCGGTTTACCCCACAAGTCCAAAGACGTGCTGTAGGGGAACGGGAGTGTATGGGTGTTTCCCAGTGAGGGGTTGCAGCTGGAAGGGCCTCCGATGCATAAAACCTGCACTGGAGTCAAGGGCGTAGGTTTGCACTTGACATTGGTGGGGACTGGGGACGAGTCCCCCCACATCCCCGCCAAGAATGAATATTGTTTTTTTAATATGTATTATATATTGCTAAAAATTATTTAACTGCTATTAAAATATATTATCAATTAGTCCTCTCTTCATACAATTTATTAAGTTAAATTAAATAGTCAGGCGCGTAGCCAAGGGGATTCAGGTGGTTTGAAAGACCAAAAGTTGGATTGTTGTTATTATTATGTTTGAATTTATCTTATTATTCAAATGGCCAAATTCTGACTGAGGAAGGTTGAATGCACTGGTCAGTTTTTTTAGTTGCCTAAAGGCTTCAGTTTTTATACCATTTTATACTATATACTATTTTATACTATATACTAGTTTTATACTATTTAATACTAATAATTTTCTTTGTGAAATCAGTTAAAACTTGATTTAAAAACAAATTTCCCCCAATAAATTATGATTTAAAACAATTGTATTTTAAAAATAAGTCTATTTTTCATATTTGAATAGTTTAGCAAAAACCTCTAAATGCCATTTAATATTTTCTTTCTAAAATGAGCATTTTTCTCCAACTCCTGTGTGTGGACTCTGTGATTTTACTTTTATAGAGACAAATACATTTCTTTTCATTGCTGTTAAAGTGAAATAACTGAACATAAATATACAAGGCTGAGAAAAATGCTCATTTTACATGGCATTTAGAGGTTTGGGCATCTGAACTCTTGATTTCTTTTTTCTAAGAATTTAAAGTTCTAATTTCTAATTCAATGTATTTTTATTATTTATAAAACTGTAATAAAAGTAAAGCAATTTGACAAAATGGTAGGAAATATTTTTGGTACATCAAAAAGTATAGTTATAATAACTACCTAAAAAGATAACCCAGCAAAAATTAGTTCTTAATATGTCAATGAAATTTAATATGTATACCTCAAATAAACAGAATGAATAATTAATCAGGTGAATTATTGAAAAAATGTTAAGTTTTTCAGAAAACAAACCCCTTCTTTCAAAAACCTGGCTACAGGCCCAAAAGTTTAATGTTAAAATAATGTTTATTAATTGATAAGGAGAGAGTTTCATAAAGATTTTTTATTTTTTTTGTACAAATTAAACATGTATTAAAAGATGAAGCACAGGCTGTAGTTTTTCTGACAAAATGTTTTAACCGAAATTGGTGATGTTACTCTAAGAGATTAGGAGAACTGGCAGGGTCATATACATTTACATGTATTCTGCAGTTAGTTTACAGGGAATATTGTTCACAGACTATATCAATCTGCTATAAGGTTAGACTGACCGCAAAATCGGTGAAAAACACTCGAAATATGTACTCATTCAGTAGCGAACTTGAGTTAAATGTGACTTACACTTTTCGTTGAAAAAAGCTCTTCATGTCCACCTTTTTTTACTACCTTCATCCTTGTGCGTGTCAGACACCTCACACACATTGGGAAATCCCCCCCGCGCAGTAGTTTTGGCGCTGCTTGTATCTGAAAGGAGCCTCTCAACATGATAGCAGAGAAAGGCACAGCCAATCAAAATGTTCATATGTGTCTGGGGGCGGTGCGACTTGAGGAGAGAAGGTGATTTAACCCTTTCAGCGTGTCTAGGTTTATACAGTTTATACTGACAGCGCGATGTTTTTAAGGGAATTAAATTATTGGTGGGGACATTTCAGTACTTTGTGGATATTGGTGGGGACACCTCCACCCTAAATCTACGCCCCTGACTGGAGTAGTTGGCGGTTCATTCCACTGTGGCGACCCCAGATTGATAAAGGGACTAAGCCGAGAAAAAAATGAATGAATCAATTATACCTATAAACTATATTACATTGTTTTCTTTCATACGTTGTATGAAATCAAAACAAATAAATTATTACATAATTAAATATGATTTAATATACAATGAAATATATTATATATATTTTTATATTTTATTTATATATATATATATATATATATATATATATATATATATATTATTATTATTATTATTATTATTATTATTATTATTATTATAGTATTTGACTGCGGTACTTGGGGTGGTTACCATTAGATTATAATCTAATGGTAACCACCCCAAGTACCGCAGTCAAATATATATATATATATATATATAAAAAACTAGGTGACGTGGGTGACGCTCTGGTCCGAAAACACCGAATCCCGAGATTAGATGAGAATGCCAAGGAAACGCATAGGAAGCTGCTGCCGCCACGCTTTCAACAGATGTGCAGTGAAAGGCAGCCTGCCACGTACTGAATTTAGCATTTGAATCTTTATTATAGTTCAATCTATAGGCATACAGATTGAGGTAAAGTTGATTTTATATTCGGACATATACTTAAGATCATTCCAAATAAGTGTTCTTCGCTAAATCTAAATACTGAATTCATATTAGCAGCTATAAACACCGTTTACAGCCAATTAGTAGTGGTAATATTGTTTTGAAGTCATACTTGCATGCGATTTCTGAGCCAAATATTCAAAGTAGCTCGGTAAACAAGCCGTCACAGTTGAAAAAATGGACGAATGTCCGAATATAAATTCAACTTCAATGAGATACAGTAGGCTATTTCATTCAGCTACGCCTCTAAATGTGTTTTTTATTGTTATATTTTATTCTTTCAACAGATGCAGATGTTTTATTCGCTTTATTTGTCAAGTTTTTCTGCTTGGGATGGAGGAGGTCGCCTGCGTTTTTTGTTTTTTTTTTCCAAATGGACTCCCTCAACCAAGAGAGATTACCACACAGTCTGAGTTTACCTGAGCATAGCACTAAGTGACGCTCCAGTTGTGTAACGTTACAGTCTATGGTCGAGCTGTTCTGCCTATCGGACGTTTAACACGTTTCTCATCAAATCCTCACCGTCAGAAACGATGCTGTTTTTTCTTCTGTTGTGGACATTACTGCAATGTGCAGGTTAGTGCAGAGCTTTTCCCGCCGTTGTCTAAACTCTGTTGCATGTGCTATTGTAGGATTTGACAGTAATTTTGCACAAGATCTCGAAGCCAGAGCGCAAAACGTCGCTTTTAGGCTGCAGAAGTTTGCTTTAAAGTGAGTCAAATCAAAGTTACATCCAAAAAGTTGCTCGATGTTGCTGTGTACGTCATAACATTTAATCTTTAGCCCGTACTAGTATTTATAGTAATGTTACTACTAGTGCTTTATTTATTTATTTTAGATATTAGTATCTTTTCCATTTAATACTAGAACTTATTCATAGATGCTAGTGCCTATTCCTTAGTTACTAGTGCTTTATAAAAATATACTAGACCTTAAACTCATTACTGGTTCTTTTTATTAGATACTAGTACTCATTCATTAGATACTAGTACTTATTAAACAAATACTATTACTTAATAAATAGATACTACAACTTATGTAAAATATACTAGTACACATTTATTAAATATTAGTTCTTGTTTGAAATGTTACTAGTAAAAATGTTATGACTAGTCCAAATGAAGAGTAATTTTACTAGTAAAATAAAGATAAGACAAGTAAAAAAGCAGGACTGACTAGTAAAATAAGAATAGTTACTAGTAATAGTTATTAAAGATACTACTGATTAATAAATAAATACTAGTGCTAATGAAAAAACTACTAGTGTCTATTTAATAGTTACTAATATCTAATGAATTGGTACCAGTATCTATTTAAGAAATACTAGTATCTATTAAATAGATACTAGTATCTAATGAATAAGTAGAAGTACCTGAATAAGTACTAGTATCTAATACTAAAGTACTAGTATGTATAAATTAGATGCTAGTAAATAATAAGTAGTACCTAATGATTACCTACTAGTACATAAAAAATATATACAAAAAACATTTGTACGTAAAAATATGATGGAATACACACTAGTCAAAACTAAATAGTTGAGATCTTAATGACAGATCCCATAGAAATCAATGGAAACATTTAAAATTTGTTACTAGAAACATTAACAGAGTAGTTGCTAGTCACTATTAAAATAAGTACTGGTATGTAATAAATAAGAACTAGTACCACTTTAATAGACACTAGTATCTAATGAGTAAGTTCTAGTATTTAATGGAAAAGTAATACTAGTATTAAAAAATTAACACTAGTAACATGAAAATAAATACTAGTACGGGCTATTGATTAAATGTCAAAATAGTTTGCCATAGTTTGCGTGCTTACTAGTGTAAAACTGAGGAGGAAAATAACCTATACAGAGCAGCGCAAATAGGCTATGCAAAGGTTAAGCATTTGCTGATGTTGTTTACTGGTGTTTAATCCTTTTATTTGATGCTTTTTTAAATTTATGGTGACTTTTAATAGAGAAACCTTAAGCAGTGGTTCATGTTTTGTATTTTACTTCAGTCCTAAGCCTCCGCTAGAGCGCTTGTGGCAGCAGGTGGATTATAAACTGACCTGACTTTACTCTTCTCATTCATCTATGCTGAAAAAGAGACAGTCTGAAATAATACTGTATTTACTGGGTTTTGCTTTGTTTTCACTATTCCACCTTTTCTTTTTTAAATCTCTGGTGACTTTTAAATGAGAAACCTGAAGCAGTTGTTCATGTTTTGTGTTTTACTTCAGTCCTAGCTATTAGATGTAGCCCGTGTGGCAGCAGGTGGATTTATAAATGAGACCTGATTACTCTTCTCATTCATCTATGCTGAGAAAGAGATACTCTGAAATAATACTGTATTTACTGGGTATGTGTTCGAGTTAAGTGTTAATATTTGGTTATTCTCTTCATGTTCTGTAAAGGTCTGATAACATTTCAGGTTTTAAACGTTGGGTGATTTTACTATAATGTTTTAATAGTTCATGTTAATGCATTTAGTAACATGACTGTTGTTTGTAGAGCATTTATTAATCATAATTCAGCATTTACTAATGCATTATTAAAACACAAAATGCTGCTTGTTGGCATTAGTTGATGCTGTGATATTGGAAAAATCTGATATTGCGATATGAACACAGTATCACAGGATGATTTGAATAGCTCTATTTGATAGTTTTCTAGAGAGTCTAACAGGATTCAGGTACAGAAACGGCATCATCACAATGCAAATACAAAGCTTTTCTTACTTTTTGTCTCATTTCCAGTTCAAGTATCTAGAAATTCTTAGAGCAAGTAAAAATATTGCTTTTTCACTATTCCACCTTTTTTTTTTTTTTTTTTTTTAATCTTTGGTGACTTTTTAAATGAGAAACCTGAAGCAGTTGTTCTTGTTTTGTGTTTTACTTCAGTCCTGCTAGCTATTACATATAGCACTTGTGGCAGCAGGTGAATTTATAAATGAGACTGGATTACTCTTCTCATTCTTCTATGCTGAAAAAGGGATACTCTGAAATAATACTGTATTTACTGGTATGTGTTTGAGTTAAGTGTTAATATTTGGTAATTCTCTTCTTCATGTTCTGTAAAGGTCTGATAACATTTCAGGTTTCAGATGTTGGGTGATATTTTACAATAATGTTTAAATAGTTCATGTTATTGTATTTACATTTAGTAAAATGAATGTTGTTTGTAGAGCATTTATTAATCATCATTTAGCATTTACTAATGCATTATTAAAATACAAAGTTCTGCTTGTTGGCACTAGTTGATGTTAGTTAAGGAAAAATCTGATATTGCTGTTTTATTTTACTGTGATAAACATTGTGATATGAACAAAGTTTTACAGGATTTTTTTCAGGTACAGAAACTGAATTATCACAATCCAAATACAAAGCTTTTCTCTTTTTTTTGGTCTCATTTCCCGTTCAAATATAAAAAAAAAATCTTAGAGCAAGTAAAATACTGCTTTGTTTTCACTGTCAGTCAAATTTTTCCTTAAAACAAGCTAAATTATCTGGCAGTGGGGGACGTTAAATCTTGTTTTCGCTTTGAAATGTGGATATTTGGACTAGAAACAAGACAAAAATTCTAAGATTTTTATTTTTGCATAAATCATATAATTCTGTGTAAATACAGTAATCAGATACAATTCTGTTCAACTAATTCAGACTCGACATTGCATATTTTTGCGACGTGACTATTGGCAATGCACACATTGTGATATTGATGTGGAAAATAGATAATTGCCCCTTTCACACATACAGACTTTTTCCGGAAAATTACTGGCAATTTTCCAGAAAGGTCTCTATGTGTGAACGGGCCCTTTTTGAAAATACTGGTAAATTTGTTGGGCAAGTTTCCAGAAAGAGAAGTTGTAACATTACTTGTAATTTTCCGGAATGCTGTGCTGTGTAAACACCGAAGGAAGATTACCGGAAAGAGCACGTTCACATCTAGAATGCGCTGATGTGAGACGTCTACTCTAGCCAATCAGGAAATTCAGACACATTCACATCCACATTGTTTACAAAAATAAAGGCCTTTGAATATTTTTCCAGACACATTTAGCTACTAGTTGTTAGTCAGACAACGTTTTTGTCTTCCTTCTTAATGCCAACTGTGGGGAAAAAATGATAGATAAAATGCTTGTGATAAACTGCTGTTTGTTTACCTTCAAGCTTTGCTTCAGTTGCTTGATGCATGTGCACGTGAAGCAGCCAGTGAACGCCAGCACACACACACATATACAGGATTCTTACGGGTGCTGGAAATCCTGGAAAATGCTTGATTTTTAATATAGTGTTTTCAAGGTTAGAAAAGTGCTTGGATTTTGGTTAAAGTGCTTAAAAGGGCTCGAAATTGTGACTGTTTTGGTTGCATATGTGCACAATTTTGTCTATGTGACCTCAACATGTATTTGGAAGCATTTGTGCAAGTGCATAAATTGTTGTAGTGCAACCTGTTTACGTTGCAAAATGTTCAGTGCATGTGCGCATTTATGGAGCTAATATAAGCCAAAACAATCTGAATTTGAATTAAGTTAAATTTAATTATTAACAATTGTAAGTTAATAATACTGATTATGTCCTATTAGAAATGTTTTCAATTTGTATTTTTAACTTGATGATTGAACGTCTGAAATTTAAGACAACTTCATTTTTTTTTGTTTTATTTATACATTGTGAAACATTACAAATATATACAAAGACAAACATGTAACAATAAGCAAATACACTGAAGAGTATTTTGAGCAAATAATAATAATAATACAAATAAAGAAATAATAATAAATAAAGAAATAATAATAAAAAAATAGATAAATAAAATAAAAAACAACAACACTAGTGCAAATGAGAGAGTAGAGTGTGGTCAGGCGGAAGAACCCCAAATAAACCAATAGTTGGACATGGTGGGATATCAACAGTGGTAATAGCTGATAGCGAGAGGAATATTTGTCTCCAAAAAGAAAGCAGGGAAGGACAGGACCAAAACATAGGGAATAAAGTAGCTGTACCAGAATGACACCTGTCGTGCTCAGGGTCTATAGACGGGTTGATGCGAGCTAGCCTGCTCTTGAACCAATGAGCTCTATGCACTACCTTGCATTGTATTAGCCTGTGACGTGCACAGATTGAGGAAGAGTTAACCCTTTTCAAGACCGCTTTCCATGTCTCCTCGGTAATGTCAATTCCAATGTCTTGAGGCCAGATGGTCCGTAAATTATCAGAAGAAAATTGCAGATTAACAATTATATTAAATAATTTAGAAATTGAACCTTTAGCACAGGGATCTATGCCCAGTATTGTGTCTAGATCGGAAGTAGACAACTTAATTTTTTAAGTCAGATTTTTATAGACATATTTTTAAACCTGAAACGCCAATCCAATGACTGCAAAAAATAGCAATGCACATGACATATCATGAACGACTGGTCATAAAAGTTTGGGACTACACCCAAACAAAATCTGACTGTAAGCTCATTTCTTGAGATATCAACTTAAGGTAGAAACAGACCAAACTTTCTAACAAGCATACTTCATCGAATAACTAAACTTTTAAAAATTAATTTTTGGGTAAACTATCCCAATAAATCTAT